GGAACATCAAATGTTTTGTTCTGGAGTCTACCTATTTAAACAATTTACTGGGGATTAAAAGTGGAGTAGTTCTTGACATTCTTATTTCTTTTCCTATTTTGTACTTATGAAATTGTCCTGTTAAGCAAATTAAAAAACACGAGGTAGTGCCTAATTTAGAAACTTAGAGACATGATTAACTCCTATTTTTATTTTTTTAAAAACCTTTTTCCTCTTTAAACTCATCTTTTAAAAGTTCAGCATTGACAGACTTTGTCATTATTTGTTTTTTCCTCCTTTTTGCTCTCTCCGTTTTGCGCTGTTGTAAGATACAGAAGTGTGGGGTCAGAGGTCCCCACCGTGTTCTGTCCGGAAGATGGCTTTCCTCTCCGTAGCCACCTCCTCTTGCTCCAGCTGTGGCTTGTAATATTAATTTGCTGTATTAGGAGCCATGACATTAATCTGCTTGCAGATTAATTGAATGACACAAAGGATCTTTCATCTACCCATCTCCTCCCCCACATTGCTAGATCAATGGATTTAGCCATTAGTTGAAGCATCTCTTAATTGGGGCGATGTGTAAGGTAAGGATTTTTTGCTAGAGGTATAAAGTACTTTGGAAAGACAAAAGAAAATGCTTAGGTTTATTTGAAAATTCTGTTCATCTCACTTTAATTGCAATATATAACAGATGACACTAAGCAAAATTTTAATAGTCATAGAAAATAAGATCTCTTCACATAAAGAAAATGGCAAGAGGTTTAATGAGCTTGTATTCAAACTCTGCCAGTAGCTGGTGCGACAAATGTAAGCAGGTTATATTAGTTGTCTGAGCTTGGCTTGTTCTGTAAAATGGGACTAATAATGCCTGTGTGATAGAGTTGTGAAGATTAAATATGGCATGTTGTGTAAATGTGTACCGATCCACCAAATTATAGGTCTTGTTATGGAGCCCAAATCTAAAGGAGCAGGCAGGGAACATCTCGTCCCTTCAGTGAACAGTGGTGGTAAATTTGACACCTTTTTCTAGAGTGAAATCACTGGCGTGTAAGCTACTTATAATATACGAATATGATTTGTGAATGTTAATTCTCAAGTTGTTCAGACACCCAAGCATGTGTTCCTGTTCAAAATTCACCAGCCTTGAAATTCTGGATTGGGCGAGCCTCTATCATTAGAGGAATATTACGTGGTATCTGCTTTCTCCTTTAATTTTTTGCGGAGGAAGTTCTAAAGGCAAGGTCCTCTCAGTGTTTTCCTTGTCACATTAGGATTTACTGTGCCAGTAGAGCTGCAAAATAATTTTGTTTTTTATGACCAGTTAATTCTTAAAATGCTATTTAAGACAATCATTGATATTTGAGGGGATGTGCAGTAGAACTATTTATTTGCAAATGTACAGGACTGGGCCAGATGGATGTTTTGTTTTGCTTTTGTTTTTAATTCTTCACTTATTCATGGAGTACCACCAGCGACAATTACATTAATTACAGCTTAGACGTTCTTTTTGTTCTCAGTGGAAGGGCTGTTATATTTTGTTTGGATAGGAAAGAAACTTGGTAATTGAAGTGGGAAACTAAATTTGGTTTTTAAAAGCTTTATTGGGGGGTGCCTGGGTGGCTCGGTCGTTAAGCGTCTGCCTTCTGCTCAGGTCATGATCTCAGGGTCCTGGGATCGAGCCCCACATCGAGCTCCCTGCTCAGCGGGAAGCCTGCTTCTCCCTCTCCCACTCCCCCTGCTTGTGTTCCCTCTCTCGCTGTCTCTCTCTCTGTCAAATAAAAAAATAAAGTCTTTAAAAATAAATTTAAAAAAATAAAAGCTTTATTGTTTTGAGATTTAAAAATTAACCTTTTAATGCTGACATTATGGTTAGAAAAAGAAAGGGGGGGAAGGGTTTGAGACTTTTTTTAGGGCAGTTTGGAGAAGACATGTTTCCATGTGTCCTAAATCATCTTCTCTACCTACTTAGAAACACTGGGCAGTCTTTTGAGTGAGACCCTAAACTGAGACCCTGACCTTGCTTTGGCTTACTTGCCTTTCTACCACAGAATCAAGGAAAACTCTGACAAAGTTGTTTCTTAAACTTATGTTTGACTGCCTTGGTGTGGTAGGTAGAATTTCTATGGTGGGGGTAGGTTCTAAGACCCCTGCCCAAAACTCTTTCCAAAACAGAAAGGACCACACCTACCTGTCTTATAAGAGTTTCCCTCTTGGCACTCATCTCCTGTGCCTAAACTTGGTCCCACCATGCCTTGTTCTGGGTCTATAGACTGTAGGACCCCAGGGCACTGAGAAAAGAAAGATTCCCGGAGGAGGTCCCTGAACATGACTGAAAGGAAAGAAAAGAGCACACACCCTCACTTCACACTGGGGTGCGCCTGCTGAAACAAGCGGTTTTTGGTGGGAGAGGAAAAGGAAAAGAAAGTATAAGGTGTGGTTAGATTTCTAGCCAAGAAGTAAGGGTTGGGTGCGGGAGGGTGTCAAAACAGAATGTTGACCCATCCCACACAACCGTAATTTCTCCCCTCTTTCAAAAACTTGCCAAAGTTCATTGCCACCCACAGTAAATAAGGTGGGGCCACTTGGAAAGGCTTGTATTCCTTACCAGCCTGACTTCCAGAGCCAGATGCCACAGATGAGGCCAAGCAGGGACTAGGGTAGGGGCCTCCCAGCCAGTGTGCTAAGACTGGCTGCTGGGTCTTGGGAGCACATCTGTGCTTTTCCCGATGACTTCAGAGTTTTGCTGAGTCCTTCAATATACTTTTGTTCACATGCACTGTCTTTTGATTTACGATTTGAGTCTGTTTCTTGAATTTACAAATTGAAAATTCATATCACAAAGATATAAAAACAGAAATGCCACTCTGGGGCTCATCCGCACACTTACTCTTTTTCTTTTCCCCCACAATTTTTAATAGGATTTTTTTTTCTTAGTATTTAAAGCAACTTGAAAACACGGTTTTAGGTGAATTCGCTGTAGATAAATGTATGACTTTATTTTATGGAGAAAATAGATCGTGAAAATAGTCTATGAAAATCCCCCCCTTTTTTTCTACATTTACAAAAAATAAAAAGAATATCAGTGATACATCGTTAGTAGTAATATAGCCATTAAAGTCATTTCCATTTTCTATCTCTTGCTCTTCAGAAACTTATTAGGACTTCTTTTCCTCTCCATTTCAGTACGGTACATGTAAAGTCATTCTTCTCTGTTGCAGAAAGGGGCTCTTTAATGTTGGATAAAGGGAGTGTTTGATGTTGTTGGTTTCTAAAGAAACATTTGAAAGACTATTCCTTTGCATATTTGTATGTTCCATTTTAATGTCACTAAAGTGCTTTGGTTTTCTCAAAAGAAGGACATCACCTGAAATACACATTTCCTATAAAAAGAATAAATTGCTGGGCGCCTGGGTGGCTCAGTCGGTTAAGCGACTGCCTTCTCCTGGAGTCCCAGGATCGAGTCCCACATCGGGCTCTCTGCTCAGCAGGGAGTCTGCTTCTCCCTCTGACCCTCTTCCCTCTCGTGCTCTCTATCTCTCATTCTCTCTCTCTCTCAAATAAATAAATAAAATCTTTTAAAAATAAAAAAAGAATAAATTGCTAACATTGATTTTTTTTTTTTTTGAGATAATGGTTTCTATAGACCCGTGTTCAGGGAAGTCCAGTAGAAGATTATATTGAGTCATTTGGCCCTAAAAGCCTTGAGTTATAAAAAGAACTAACAGGATCAGTAATATTTATGCATAGCACATTATCAGAGATGGCTGGCTGGAGCTGGAAATCGCATTAAGTATTTTATGCCATCAATCAGATAAATGATATCACAGGCAGAGCCTTCAGCTTCCAGTGACCTGCTCCCAGCAAGTCACTGACATCTGCATGTTAGGCCCACAATGCCCACTTATGTCATCACCTACAGCTTGTCCATCAGGCCAACTCACAGGTTAACTTCTTTGAATCAACCTGCTGCTTGGTGGGGGGGGCGGGGGGGGCGCCTTTTCTTCCTAGTGTGGCTCGACCAACTGATCCCCTTCTCCCTACACCGTGGAGTCTCTTAACTCCTAAATGGCAAGGGGTTTTGTTTTTGTCTTTGTTCCTAAATAAGGGGTGGGGCGGAGGCAGCATAGAAATGAGTAGAGGTGGGGGACAGGAGATTCTAGCCAACTTTTTCTCCAAAGGGCCAAATAGTAAACATTTTAGACTTTAGGGTCTGTTGGAGCTACTCATTTCTGCGGTTGCAGCAGCCCTACAGGGTATGTGGATGAGTGGGCTTGACTGTGTTCTGAGTAAATGTTATTTACAAAAAGTAGGCAAGGGGCCTTTGGCCTACTGCCCATAGTTTGCCAACCTCTGCATATTACAAAGTAACATATCCCTAAGAAACTGGCTCTGAGATATTCCAGAAGTCCTTAAAATATTGTGAGCAGTAGAGCATAATTTCATAAATGCATAGTGTCTCAGAGGAACCAAGCTTACTGCCCATTTTGATGTTAAGAGTTGGCATCAGGGGGTGCCTGGCTGGCTCAGTCGGTAGAGCATGCAACTCCCCATCTCGGGTTCTTGAGTTCATGGCATCAAATATATTTTGCATCTCACGCATTCATTTCTTAAAAATTGCTGGTGAATGGAAAAAGAAGTGGTGGACCACCAGTTATAAAGCAAACGCCAGCACTCATGATTAAGCAGAGTGTGGCTGTGAGTGATCATTTTACAGGTGCCCTCCGGGGACATGGAGCCGAGAGCCGGGTGGGTACAGAGGGCCTGGTTTCCAGTCCGTGCGCACTGCGTCAGGCCCTGGGCCTGGGAGTCAGCCCTGGGCTGTGGGAGAGCTGCTCAAGTTTCAGATGTGTGTGTTTTGTGATCATCTGCTTAGAGTAAAAGTATTATTCTGTTGTAACAATTCTGATGATTAATTGTGATGGTTTTTTTCTGTAGGAGTTGGATAAACCTATAATAGAAATTCAAGTGCCTGTTGAGTAGAATTGGCCTTTTTACTATTCCATGTGAACTATCTCCGACAGGTTGTCCCTGCAGAAGGACTGGTCTCTATATTAAAGAAGAGGAATGAGGGTGTAGGAGACAATCCTGCCCAGATGCAGCAGAAACCATCAAAACGAAGAGTGAGGTTCCAGGAGATCGATGATGACTTAGATCAAGGTAAAGCACCTGGGGTGGGGGGTCTGTCTAGCACTGAGCTGCTTCTCTGGGTCAGCTGAGAGTATGTTTGGTAATAGGGTTTGTAAAAAGAACATGTGTACTTCATTGCTTTATTATATTCTGTAAAGGAACATATAGAATCAAATGATCATCAGCAATTCTGTTATTCCTGAGCATTTGGTTCAAATAAGTGAGCAAGTCGTAAACTTCAACTCCTGGCCTCCCTATCTCAACTGACCGTCTGCTTGGAGCTCATTTCAATTTCCTGTTCAATACTTTTTTTTTAAGTGAGCTTGCTATTGTCTTTTTTTTTTTTTTTTAGTGACCATTAATACTCCTCCTTTGTAGGTCTGAGAAATATTTCTGGATTACAAGGATATTCGGATATTCTCTGGTGATTTTTTTTTAAGTATTTTTGCTTTTATTTTATTTTTTAAAGATTTTATTTGAGATAGAGTGAGAGTGAGAGACAGAGAGAGCACAAGCAGGGGCGGCAGCAGGCAGAGGGAGAAGCAGACGCCCTGCTGAGCTAGGAGCCCAACAAGGGGCTTGATCCCAGGACCTCAAGATCATGACCTGAGCCACCCAGGTGCCCCCCTCCGGTGATTTCGTCATGACTCTACAGGAGAAACTGCCTCACAGCGCTGTAACACTGCTGCTCACCTTTGACCCCTCCCTCCTGGGCCTGTGTGTGTGGGTGTGGGTGTGGGTGTGGGTGTAGTGGTTGCTAGGGCTACCCGAGGCCTAGGTCAATAAGGGTGAGAAGAAATACAGCCAAGAGCTTTTCAGGGGGCTTCTCAAGTTTATAAAATAACAGCACTGCTAAAATAACAGAGTAAACACATACCTGTGCTTTCTAGGCACATAAAGTGACAGCAGTAGAGGTCTCTAAATTTTTACAGAAGAAAGCTTCCAATTTACAGTTATAAAGGAGCCTTGGAAACGATCTGTTCCCATCCCTCCTTTTACCTCTGCACCCAGGCTTCTCCAGAGTGCTTGGTTCTCTGCACGAATGGCACTGAATCGTTGCTTACCAAGAGGAGACCCGGATGTACAGATGATGTTCCTACGTACTTGGTGGCCATCACATCTTAGCCCAGTCACTTAGCTTCTGCTCAGCAGCCACCTGTGCCTCGAGGCCTCCTGGTTTAGCCACGAAGCTCTAAACAGTTTCAACACCTGTCGATAAAACAAACCAAGACAAATGTTTATTTTAAATAGCATATTGAATGTTCACATAGAAATATAGGATTATGAAGAAAAACATGGAAAACTACATGTACTAGATGGTTAACATAGATGAGGGGGTGGGAGTGCATGATGCCAAAAAAACAGAAAAGAGGGTGAAAAAAGCTGAACTGACCAAAAAAACAAAAAACAAAAAAACGCCAAGAACTACAGTAATGATATTATACTTATTCATTTGTAGAAAAATATATTTGCATGGATGCATATACATTATCAAACCTACTGACTTAAAATTTATTAAACTAAATTTGTAAATCATAGAAAGTATAATTACATAATCCTATTTTTTAAGGTTTTTTTAAAGATTTAATTTATTAGAGAGAGAGCAAGCATGCACACAAGCGGAAGGGGGGTGAGAGAGAGGGAGAAGCAGATTCCCCACTGAGCAGGGAGACTGACTTGGCGCTTGATCCTAGGACCCTGAGATCATGACCTGAACCGAAAGCAGACGTTTAACCAACTGAGCCACCCAGGTGCCCCTACATAATCCTATTTATATAAGAATCCTGGGGCACCTGGGTGGCTCAGTTGGTTAAACATCTGCCTTCGGCTCAGGTCATGATCCCAGGGTCCTGGGATCGAGCCCCACATTGGGCTCCCTGCTCAGTGGAAAGCCTGCTTCTCCCTCTCCCACTCCCCACCTGCTTGTGTTCCCTCTCTCACTGTGTCTCTCTCTGTCAAATAAAAAAAAAAGTAAGAATCCTTAAACCTGTGTCTTTGATCTGGAAGGATACACACCAGAGTGTATTTGCCTCTGGGGTGGGAGGGGAATATGCTTGAGTAGGAGAAAAACAGAGTCCCTTAGATTCTTAGATGTTTTTGTGTTTGAATTTTTACAGGAAGAATTTATTCACATAATCCTGTAAAATCTTCCCCAAAAGTCTATTTTGTTTATATTATGTTTTATAAAATGTGGGGGTTTTTTATCATAAAAGTAATATATGTTGATCATGAAAAAACTAATGCAGCAATGGGGCACCTGAGTGGTGCAGTCCAACTCTTGGTTTCGGCAGGTCACGATCTCTGGGTTGTGAGATGGAGCCCCATGTCGGGCTCTGCATTCAGCAGGGAGTCTGCTTGGGATTCTCTCTCTCCCTCTGCCCCACCATATGTGCATGCTCTCTTTTATCTCTTTCTCTCACTCTCTAAAATAAATAAATAAAATCTTAAAAAAAAAAAAAAACAACCTCGCACAGTCATGAAGTAAAACAGTGTCAAGTCTTCTGATCTTCCCTTGAGGGTTTCCCCCAAGTACTGATTGAAGTTTCTTACCATCTTTTCAGGACACATTGTGTATATATGTGTGCACATGTGTATAGACACACTGACACATATGTGTTTTTGGTTTTAACACAAATGGGTTCATTATACTGTTATGTCACTTCTTTTTCATTTAACCATCGATCTTGGATGTCTTCCTATGAGAGAACATATTAAACTTACTTCATTCTATTAAACAATTGCATGTTATTTCATTATATGAATGTCCCATGATTATTTAACTGTTCCATTATAACTGGAATAACTGAGTTATTCTCAACTTTATGCTCTAACAGACTTTGTCACAGTGAACATGCCTGTAAATATGCTAGTTTGTGATGTGCTGATCTATAGGCTGATTCCCGGAAGTGAATTTTTTGGACTAAGTGATAGGGTCCAGCTGCCCTGAGGCGGTCCTGGTTTCACCTGTTGTCTCAGCCTTGTCCCCAAACACTCCCTTGCCCTCAAACATGTCCCAGTCAGGAGGATATTTTTTTTTTTTTGAAGATTTTATTTATTTGACAGAGACACAGTAAGAGAGGGAACACAAGCAGGGGGAGTGGGAGAGGGAGAAGCAGGCTTCCCGCTGAGCAGGGAGCCCGACGTGGGGCTCAGTCCAGGACCCTGGGATCATGACCCTGAGTCGAAGGCAGATGCTTAACGACTGAGCCACCCAGGTGCCCAGGAGAATAAATTAATTTAAAGTTTTAATAGATACTGCCAGATCACCTTCCAAGAAGGTTCTGGTACTTTCTCATCACGCTGATCATAAAACTTTTCAGTCTTTTTCCAAATTTAAAAATTTTTAAATTATGAATGATCATTAAGGCTTTCCAACCAAAGAATAGCTATTTTCTTTTTTTTACATACTAATTTTTAAATTATTTTTTATTGTTATGTTAATCACCATACATATTACATCATTAGCTTTTGATGTGTTCCATGATTCATTGTTTGTGCATAACACCCAGTGCTCCACGCAGAACGTGCCCTCTTTAATACCCATCACCAGGCTAACCCATCCCCCCAGCCCCCTCCCCTCTAGAACCCTCAGTTTGTTTTTCAGAGTCCATTGTCTCTCATGGTTCTATAGCTATTTTCTAAATATAGAGAGACTGATACAGACATTTTTATTAAAAACAGGCCTGCTTGTTTTTAAGCAAAATAAAAAGAAATCACTGTACTAGCTAGAACATCACTGTTCCACTAAACGGTAAGAGTAAAATTGAGTAATGGCACCTGGGTGGCTCAGTGGGTTAAGTGTCTGCCTTCGGCTCAGGTCATGATCCCAGGGTCCTGGGATCGAGTCCCACATCGGGCTCCTTGCTCAGTGGGGAGTCTGCTTCTCCCTCTGCCTGCCACTCCCCCTCCTTGCTTTCTCTCTTTCTCAAATAAATACAGTTGAAAAAAAACAACAAGGGGCACCTGGGTGGCTCAGTTGGTTAAGCAACTGCCTTCAGCTCAGGTCATGATCCTGGAGTCCTGGGATCAAGTCCCGCATCGGGCTCCCTGCTCAGCAGGGAGTCTGCTTCTGCCTCTGACCCTCTTCCCTCTCATGCTCTCTGTCTCTCATTCTCTCTCTCTCAAATAAAAAAAAAAAAACGAGTAAAATTGAGTGAGATGCAAAAGTGATCCCACCCAAAGACAATTTTTTATTGTTTAATATCACATTGACCTTGCTTTAAGGTGAGCTCATGATGTGAACTCCAAAGATACTGTAATATTGAGATTGTAATTTGTACGCTAAAATAAGGCTCTGAGCACATCAGAGAAGTACTGCCCTTCTTTTCTTTTTTAATGGAAGCGATTATATTTGTTGTATAAATGAGCTAGTTTTCATTTTAGCATTGACAGGCTCCACAGATGTATGTGTCTGTGGTGACTGACGGATGTCCGTGGAGACTGACAGGTGTGTGTCGTGCCTGGGACAGGTGTGTGTCTGTGGGGACAGGTGTGTGGAGACTGACAGGTGTGTGTGCTGACTGATAGGTGTGTGTGTGCTGACCAACAGGTATGTGTCTGTGGAGACTGACAGGTGTGTGTCTGTGGTGACTGATAGGTGTATGTGTGTGGTGACTGACAGTGTATGTCTGTGGTGACTGACAGGTGTGTGTCTGTGGAGACTGACAGGTGTGTGTCTGTGGAGACTGACAGGTATGTGTGCTGACTGATAGGTGTGTGTGGTGACTGACAGGTGTGTGTGCTGACTGACAGGCGTGTGTCTGTGGTAACTATCAGGTGGGTCCCGTGCAGTCCTCACGTGCACTAGCTTTCTGTCGGTGACTCCAGCCCCTGGAGGACTCAGGTTAACTAGAAATGTCTACTTACTGTGACCAGCGAGAAGACAGCAGACACTGGGATTTCCATTTTGCACCAATTTAACCTTACTCTGTTCTCATGTTTGCAGATGAAGTTGGAGGTGGTTCCTGTATTTTACTGGTCTTGCTGTGCATAGCAACGGTTTTCCTGAGTGTTGGAGGAACCGCATTGTACTGTACTTTTGGTGACATGGAGTCGCCCGTTTGTACAGACTTTGCGGACAACGTGGATTTCTATTACACTAAGTTACTGCAGGGAATGGCGGAACTGAAACACTGGGTCTACCTCTCCTAGCAGCACTCAAGAGGCACAGGCATGCTGGCAGTGAGAATCAGAGTGAACCTTTCTAAACGGCTTTTATTTTCAGAGTTCTGTAACACGCATCCCCTCTCCCCAGCGAGGAGCCCTGGACTTCCAGAAACGGCAGCTTGAAATGGTAATCCAGAGGAGCTCTCAGAATAACCCTGAGCATTGTGGATGGAAGGAATGGTCTTTGGAGAGCACATCCACCCACTCCGTGCTATTTCCTAGGGGAGCGAGCTATGCCCAGCAGAATCTCAAGGGCATTGTTGGAGCCCCACCATTTTTAGCTGCCTTGTCAAGCTAATGGTTAAAGGACACTTGGTTTACATTTGTTGGTCCAAAGACATTGCTTCCAGCCATCATGCAATAAGTTTGTGTATAATCAAAAGGAGTTACCTTATGGTTTTATTGTCTTTTTTTAGTTAACCTTGGGAACTGTGTAATTTAGGCTTTGTACATTATTTCCAGATTTTTTTCTTCATCTGTGAAATGATTGTGTGTGTGTGTGCGCACACACGCGCATGCATGCATGTCTGTTTTAGATGGTTATCATAAGCAAATACCCAACCCAGAATAACAAAGATGATCTTTATTTGAACCTGACTATAGATGTGTGGGCACAAATAGAAGGCTTAACTGTGGAACAGATGAGTGGTAGAAATCTTGGCCCTGAAATCAGACACTGTGATAGATCTGTGACAATTTGATTAACTAGCCAGAAATTAATCATAGGCCTAGTGGTAAAGAGGAAAAACTAAAGAGCTCCCTCTAAGTCTCAGGCACCCAGTTTCATCATGGATTCAGTGCTTCCTGAAGAATGTTGAGTGCTGGACTCACTTCTCAGTAGGTGAGCACCTGTTAGTAGGTTCTGAGAATCTAAGAACCAGAATACAAAGATGAAGAAGATATTAGTTCCTGCTCTAGATGTTTTAATTCTGGTCTTATGTAAAATAAACTCCTACTTTGGCAAATGAAATTAAATCACGATATATAATTCAGTATTAACAAATCACACATTCAGATGTTTGAATGTGCATTCATATCATGGGCTTGATTTAGACCTCATATGGGGCTGTTCAGCGAAAATTCAATCAATCATATCTTAAATAGGTAAGTGTGTGATTTTTGTTTCAATCTGTCAGTTTGGTGGCATTTCCTTTTCTAAGGTACAGTGGTCTAACATTTAGAAAGCCTTGCTTTGGCTTTTTATAGCATAGGCAGCCTTTTAACAGAAACAGAACACATGAATTCTAGTTTTTTAGCAAGTGACCATTATTTCATGTTTTTTGTTAGGATCGTTTGAAAGAAAAAGGGAGAAATTACTTTCTAGTTGTTACTGGCTGGTACAGTACCTCCTGGTGTGTTTCTGCTATTTATTTAGATTATATGAATTTTAAAGGGCTTTTTATATAAGTTGGAAGTCTGTTGTTGAGCATGCGTTCGGTTATCCCAATGCTACATATTTAATTGCTATGTACTTAGTGTTTTGATTTTCTATAATTTCGGTTCAGTGTATTTTTAGGTTTGTTAATTTTTAAGTTGATGTTTTATTTTCACTTATAATACTGTTTGACTTGTCTCTATCATGTCACCATAAACTGTAATATTTTCAAGAATTATAGATCAAAGATATTTATTTAGAAGTGTACAAGAGAGTGAAATTTAGATTCCTTATACTTAAGGCTGATTTTATTAGAGGATTATTTTAATGTTCTATTATAAATTTTAAGAATTTGTATTCAGATGGTATGTAAACTATGTAAAATGTTGATGGTACTATCTCACGTGGTTCTAGAAAAGATATTCTACCCAAATCCGCTGTGAGGGGCATCCCCATCAGAGACAAACCTCTTCTGTTTAACCCTCGTGATTTCTAGTTACAGGAATTTGGTGGTGGGGATTTCTGCCAGTTTTATGTCAAGATAAATCAGAATTTCCCTCCTGTTCACCTCTTTTAGGTCACTATTGAAGTCCTAAATAACCCGTAGCGTCACATTTGCTGAAACTGAAGATCTCACACTGGGGCACAAGGACTGAGACAGAATATGGGGTTCTCAGGGGCCCAGGGAGTGTCAGACAAATTGTGTGTGTTCTCATTGCTTCCCAGGGAGCGTGAGGTGAGCTCAGGAGCATATTGATATCTTGACTTAAAATAAGCATGAAATCTCAACTAGAAAAATTAGGGCAACTTTAAAAAATGTAATAGTCATTTATTGCATGAATTGGAATAACTCCATCTGGTGATAAAAAAAATTGTTATCTCACGCGTAAAAAATTCATTCCAGTTTTACTACAATGTAATTTTTTCTGCCATTTGAAAGTACTGACAACTATTTGTAACTAATCTTCCCTAAGAACTGTATTTGAGGGTAACAGATAAAGCTTGTAATTTAAAATGACACCAACACAGCGTCTCAGAGAGTTTATTTGAACCCTGGGGTGCTGAGAAAAATTGCTTTAAAGCGACAGTGTGAAATGCTTTGAGAGGTTGGTCTGGCCCCACAAGCAGACAGCTGTCTATTTTGGGAAGTCTAAGAAGTCCCTACGTGAAAGCTCTTCTGGTTCTAAAACCCCTCCCCTATCTGCCTGACACAGTAACTGAAATTTACTCTAAAAACTCATACCTTCGGATTTAAAAATCAAAATCCACTGGGCAGTGACTCTGTGTATTATGCCGAGAGGATTTGAAATTTGAAAGCAGGCCTTGTTTTGAAAGGACAGGTGTGAATTGGGGCATGCTGGGGCAGCGGTGCGGAGGGGGCAGGAATCGAGAAGCCAACGAGGGAAGGTGGGGAAAGAACAAAGAAATCCTTTGGCTGTTAACCCGCTTTGCTGAGAGGCTGGCCCAGTTCAAGGAGAGACTGATTTTTGTCTTCCCACTAATGCGACCTGCCTAACTCTTGTGGATTTCTGTGGGTTTAAGTAATATTAATGCACCCTTGTATACTTCCCCGTGCAGTTTATATAGTATTTTCACATGTATTCATGTGATGGTTACATCATGAAACACACATCGCTCAGTGCAGGTTTTTATCTCCCCAATCCTGTCTGCTTTCCATCCTGTCACATTATCTCCACCCTCGAAAAGAATGAGAGTGATCTAGGGTTGACAGCGCAAATTCTAGTGCCATCTGCTGTTTTAACAACCTCTCGATAAAGATCGACATTTATCGAGCCTCATGCACTAGCCCTGTAAAAACTAGGGTAAATTAAAAATGTCCTGAAGGATTCTAGGACAGTTTAACTCTCTCTGAGTTTAGGGTGCTGAGAGAAAAGGTATCTCTTCTCCCTGGTTCTAACGGGAGTAACTGCTAAACTCAACTTTTTGCCTGTTACTGTAAGATCAGGGCAGAACCACGAGCAGTCTGCCACTGTCTTGCACCTTGACAAACGTGTGTGTGCCTGCCGTGTGCCTAGAGCTGGGTGCTGGAGCTCCAGGAACAAGAAATCATAGCAGCTTAAAGAAGTTAGTGTCTGGTGAGATACATGCATTTGTGAAGGAGGAATCAAAATGAAGAAATTGAGGGTCATGCTACCCGTGGGAGTAGAAAATTGAGTTCATTCTCTCCTACCAGGTGTCATGCACTGTAAGGAACAAAAGTAAAATTCTAGGGGCTCTTGGGTGGCTCAGTTGGTTAAGCATCTGCCTTTGGCTCAGGTCATGATCCCAGGGTCCTGGGATCGAGTCCCGCATTGGGCTCCCTGCTCAGCGGGGAGTCTGCCTCTCACTCTCTCTGTCTCTCTCTCTCCCTTTCCCCATCACTTGTCCTCCCTCTCTCTCTCAAATAAATAAATAAAATCTTTAAAAATAAAATAGAATAAAAATTATTATTTTTTTAAAGTAAAATTCTATCTAGGCTTCCTGCATAGCAGCATGATAGACAGGAATCTTTTCTCACAACCTAAGTTCTGGTAATTACTACTTTTCACTTCTAGTTAGTGTTTGTGGCATTAGTAGCCGGTGGGCTTTCCAGCAGTAGAAAGCTTCTCCCTAAGAGCCTTCTTCAAAACTGAAAGCCTGAATAGCACAAGTGAAAACCTCACAAAACTCTAGGTCCAGAAGCTTCCTCAGTAAATTCTATCAATCATTCAAGTGAGAAATCATATCCATCCTACAAAACACCTCAAAAAGGAGAGTGTTTCATGGGACGAGATTACTCTGAGACCAAAACCAGACAAGACAATAAGATAGCTAAAGACCAGTATCATTCGTGAACTTAGACACAAAATCCCTAACAAATACTAGTTGATCCAATCTAATAATATACACAAGAGGTAATACAGCATCACGGCCAATTGAGATTAATCCCTGGATACAATGTTGTTTTCACATTAAAAAATTACTCAATGTAATTCACCATTTTAACGAAAACCGTACTACTATACCAATAAATGCATGTGATTCATACACCATTCATGATAAAAACTCTGAGCAAACTAGGACTTCCTTAACTTGATCAAGGGTATTTCTGAAAAACCCACAGCTAATATCAAATACCTAGTTGAAAAAGACAAATGCTTTTCTTCCTCAGGTCCACAACAAGGCAAAAATGTTCATTCTGACCACTTCTGTCCAGTGTTGTACAGGATGACCTATGACAAGGCAAGAAATAAAAGGCATACTGACCAAAAAGGACAAAATAAAACTTTTTGCCAATGACATGATTGTTTATCAAGAAAACCCTAAGGAATCTGTAGAATGCTATTAGAATACGTGAGTATAACGAAGTCATAGGATGCAAGGTCAATATACAAAAAAGTCAGTAGTATTTCTGGGTACCAGCAATGAGCCATTGGAACATGAAATTAAAAATCATGAATAAAAGAATCAAAATTCATTTCACTCACAATAGCACCCAAAACACGAAAGACTCTCAAATTTAACAAAATATGTGCAAAACCTGTGCAAAGGAAACTATAAACCATTGCTGAAAGAAGGAGACCTAAATAAGTGAGGAAATACAATCTGCTTGTGGAGTAGAAGACCCCAT